TGGTATAATGACTGATCATAATTGATCCCATTTCTGTGGGTTTTTTACCTCGATATTTATTCACGTCATTTAAAAATATGACGTATAATATTAAAAAATGACATTTGATCTATTTGAATGCGTAAACTAAACAACCCCACTTTGCCATTGCTAGAAGAATCTGAAAATTTACTTTGGTGAATAGGTACATACAGTTTTAGCACACAGCAAATGCTTATGTGTATTTCTTATGCAACAATGAAGTTCTGTCCGTATTCTCAAAATAGTGTCTGCCCATAGGTTTTCACAAGCAATTAAAATTGCATGCAATTCAGCAATTAATACTCCCTCGTTGTAACCCGTGTTAGGTGGTATAAACCTACACATGTTATTTGTCATCATTCACTTGATGGTCAGTTAATGAATTTAAAACAGGTATAATTAGTGGTAACACCACTTGGATAACCCGACAAAGGTTCCCATTTTTCATTTCTTGTGTCTGGGGTAAATACTCAACATTATAAACATCGATCAAAGGATTAACCGATAACACGCTGATTGATTAAATACTTTTATCTTACACAGAAGATTTGTCAAAAGGTAGTGTTCATGTATGTAGATTTACTAATCTATACTGAATACACTCTGTCTGCTGCCCCATGTCCCATTTCGATCAAAGGATTAACCGATAACACGCTGATTGATTAAATACTTTTATCTTACACAGAAGATTTGTCAAAAGGTAGTGTTCATGTATGTAGATTTACTAATCTATACTGAATACACTCTGTCGTGTCGGTGTCTGCGTAAAACAACTTCCTTCTTTCAAAGGATTAACCGCCAAGACATTGATTTATTGCTCATTATTGGCTAACTAAATTACTTTTTTGTAAAGAATGGTGGACATTATGCGATTAGTTCCCAGGTATGCTATCTTGGGTGACCAATGATATATCACCTTTGGTAAACATGTATTAGATGTATCATTTGGAACAGCTGCAGGTGAATGGCATATCACTCGTTTTTGTGGATATTGATGGATACATTCCTGGAACAAAGTAATAGCCTGACATTGTTCTTATAACTCTTATCTGTTTTAATTTTAATAATTGCATTTTGTTTTTATTCATTTGTCGTGGCATTCAACAGAATCATTGTTTTCGTCGTGAAGTAATGAGACAGACAACATACACTAGGGCGTGTGTGCGAATTATGATTTACATTGGCTAACTATAAAATGTCTAGATATTCAAGTTATAAGTATAGGCAGATCGCCTGATTTTTATTTAGTTTCAAAATGCATACAAGTATGATAATAAACTAATTAGGATTATAAGACCAAATATAAAGACGCACGTTGACGAGTATCTACATACCGGTGAGTGGACGTTAACCACGTGAATGTAGCAAGACATATATTGCGCAGTATTGTCACTTCGACCCCCACCTCGCTTCCGAGGAAGAAATCGTTATGTTACAAGTTGTGTCATGCCAAATCCTGTTGGCCATGATTCAAATACATATTTAACTACGAGTAGAAAGTAGTTTTGATTTTCTAACTTGATGAAAACAAACCATAATCTCATTAATTCTTTAACAGACTTTAGCCCGTGATGTTACGATTATTATAAATGGCAGCGCCCTGTCGCGAACATCCGCCAGTCTGAGAATAAATGCTATTTAGGTTTGTTTTCACCGAGTTACAAAATCAAAACTACTTTCTACTGGTAGTAAAATATGTATTTGATTGATGGCCAATAGGATTTTGCATGACATAGCTTATAACATAACAATTTCTCTCGTGGAAGCGAGGTGGGTGTCAATATAACACTACTTACAATATTATTGTTACTTCCACCACAACCTCGCTTCCGAGAAAGAAATCGTTATGTTACAAGTTGTGTCATAGAAAATCATTTTGGTCATCAATCATACATTTATTGTACTACCACTAGTAAGTAGTTTTGATTCTTTAACTTCCGCGAAGCGATCTGAACACATTTAAGATATCGTTCCAAGCTTCCACAACGCTCGCTTCGCACTCACAAACATAACCCATTTAGCACGAACTACGGGGTCCGGTGGAAATTAGTGCATGGTGACACCATCACTCGACCCCCTAAGAGGGCAACGCAACGATTGACGGCAACGCAACGATTCGTTTTGCTTTGAGTAAGTTTCGTTGTTCAGACCATCCTTTAATGTTGGAATATGGGTGGAAGGTAAATATAAAACAACATGAGCGATTCTGCCCTCTGTGTATTGTTCTTACCATTGAATCAGAGTACCAATTCTTTATTGAATGTTTATTTTACTGTGATCTGAGAAACAGCCTGCTCCCACAATACATTGTACTACATAAATAATCCATGTGAAACTAAATTTATCAACTTATTATTGTCTTGCAATTCTACAACTGTTAACAACCTTGCTAAGTTTATATTTCTTGCATTGACAAAAAGAGCGATGTTTTTTAATATAGAGTATAAGATTAAATGAGACATTGTACATGTTAGCATACAGCTTAATATTATATATGGCGCTGGATTGTATTGTCATCTTTATAATTGTATAATGGGTCGGTGGCCCTTGTACGAAATTAACTCTCACTCACTAGATATATGCTTACGATGACACATACTTAAACTAAACGTGACAAAATTCACTTTTCACCCAAAACATTGAACATTTAAAATGTGTTCACCACTGCAATTTCGACTAGTCAAGTCGGTAATCCTTATACGTTAATCCCTTAAACAATCATTACTAAAACAACACCAAACATCAAAGACTACCGCCAGTCGCCATAACGCCCCCCATGAAACACTCATGCCGCCCCCATGCCACTATAGCAATTAGCCCATGCAGAACAATAATTTACAATCACCCATCAGTTATCTCCCCTTGCGGATATTTCCAAAATTGGAAATCTCACATTTCCAAAATTGGAAATTTTTGGAAACATCATCTTTCCAAAATTGGAAATGTCTTGGAAACATCATCTTTCCAAAATTGGAAATGTCTTGGAAACATCATCTTTCCAAGACATTTCCAAGCTTGTAAATGTGGATTTTTTTCCAGTGTCTAGTCATGTAATAAGTCCCGTGTGTCGCACTACACAACAACCAGCCTATTTATAGCTCTTACACAGTTCTCGAGCTTTCTAGCAAAGCTAGGCTCCCTCACTATCCCTCAAAACATTAGGCGATTTTGTGAACATACGACCGGAAGTAAAAACAAAATAAAGCCAGCCAAGGGAGGCAACTCTGATTTGCTATCAAAAAGGCTTACCGCCTTTGACCATATATGATGCGAGATGCGAGCCAAAACCCACACTCAAAACTTTACATATTGTTACCCTTAATAATTATCATTTAATCGATGTGATATTACAAATTACAAAAAACACACTCTCATAACAGTCAGCCCGAAGTTTGTCTTGAATCTGGGCATTCTGGAGCTTGTCTCGAACTTGCATTCGAAGATAGGTGTAGGCCTGATCTTCCACAAGATGCTCAATAACTCCTCCCCCCTGTAAGTTATTATTATTATCATTATCATTAAAATACATGTACATGCTTTCTATGAGAGTGATGTACGCTTATGCCTACTTTGTCATTGTTCTCTTGTTTCGTTTATTCCAATCAGGGCAGAGCAGACTCATATGCATAAAGAGAGTCAGTGAGTGTGTATGGTTTTACGGTGCTTTTAGCAATATTTCAGCAATATCACGGCGGGGGACACCAGAACTTGACTTCATACATTGTACCCACTTGGGGAATCGAACCCGAGTCTTCAGAGTGCCGAGCGAACGCTTTAACCGTTAGGCTACCCCACAGCCCCTGTTAATGCATAAACAGACAAACCAGAAAACATAAATGACTAACTGAGTATGGTTTTATGCCGCTTTTAGCAATCTTCAAGCAGTATCACGACGGGGGGACACCAAAAATGGCCTTCACACATTGTACCAATGTCGAAAACATACACTAAACGCCAAAAGAAACGTTACCCTCATTACTTAATTACGGAGGTACCTATCTTCAGCTGGCTTTGTGATGCGTGGACGTCCCCTTTTTGTTCTGTCTACGGTGACCTCAGTCTATCTGAAGCCCTGAATACGACTTACAACCGTGATACGGTGGCATCCGAGGGCTTGGCAACAGAATAGTATGTCGACCCCCACCTGCAACATCCAAAGGGCTCTTTCTTTCTCTTCAGCTGTTAATCGTCGCATATTTCTCGTACTTGTGTATCATATCATCTTTTCTAGGCTCTCTTCAGTCCCCATAGAATCATTCTATATGTGAAATGGATGTAAATACTGCTTGAATATTGCTGCGTTTTGCTATTGCTATGTGTAAACAGAAAATGGAAAAATGTTACTTTGCAAGCAAACATGGTAACAAAGCTCATTGAAGATGTTCCTAAACATTTTTTTCACAATATCAACTTGTTTTCATGAGTGCAAATCAGCAGAAAATGTTTTAAAAGACTGAAATCATAGGAATGATTATTTTCCAATTGTACACACTCTACAACAGTTGTTTCTTGTTTTAATAGTTGAAAAATGGTGATATTAAATGGTTTATCTTTGTCCCAAAGCAGGATTTTATTTCAACCTTTCTTTTGGACATCTAAATCACTGTAGTTGGTATATTTCAACATGGACGAAAATACTACAACTCAACTCTTCTGAAAAAGATGCATTTCATCTAAATATGAATGCATTTCAGAATTAGTTTCCGTGATTTGCATAAAGCTGTGTTGTTAAGCTTTCTTGTAAACTAATTCCTTCTAACATATCTTTGATAGTTTTTAAGTAATTCATAAAAGTATGAGGGTAACGTTTCTTTTGGTGTATAGTGTATATGAGATGACATACATCAAATGCATACTTAATAGAAAAGGAATACGTGGAGGGGCGAGACCGGTAAACGACCCGGGAACATATCTGAACTTGCAATGCTGCTCTATTCGGGATTTGTACTTGATTATCGGAGCATGTCGGCCTCTTGTCAATAGAAACCTTGCTAATAGAATACTACACCTCCAGAAATGGTTGAGACGTCATTGTGACACTCGCTAAAGGTAGCGTCCCACACTCATGGTTAGATACATTACAACGAGTTAAAGAATGTTCTTGAAAAGCGTATGAGGCGACGCCTGTGAATACCTACCCTGATCAAGACTATCGAAAGATCTAGGCTCATCGCCATACGTGGCGCTACTTTTGTGAATGAGGTTAGTTGTACTTGCTTCCTCTTGTTTTGTTAATGATCATAACTTCTTAATAATCTTTGTAATATTAACGTTGTATCTGCAGTTGTCCCTTGTTGTTCCAACACGGGATTGTTTATGTGTGCAAGGACGAATATGGAAAATCGGTGTGAGTGTATAATACATACATACATACTAACATTTGTATAGCGCCGATATCCAGCTCAGCTCAGCTGCTCAAAGGCGCTTTGTTTTTCCCTCGTTCACTGGATGTCAATATAATGAGTTAAGCCAGGCTTGGTTGTCGGAATCATTCTTTCTAATATGTGGGGCGGTGGGGTAGCCTAATGGTTAAAGCGTTGGCTCGTCACGCCGAAGACCCGGGTTCGAATCCCCACATGGGTACAATGTGTGAAGCCCATTTCTGGTGTCCCCCGCCGTGATGTTGCTGGAATATTGCTAAAAGCGGCGTAAAACCAAACTCAGTCAGTCAGTCAGTCTTTCTAATATTTTCTCTCAACTGCTTGTTTCTGTGTATTGGCAACACAACATATGTAGTGACATTACAAAGCACTTGACATTGGACATATCAGGTACCATTATCGGAATTATCTATGTTTTATGTACTTGCTAATTTTACCCTCCCCTATTAGAATGTAGGGGGGCGGTAGGGTAGCCTAGTGGTTAAGGCGTTCGCTCGTCACGCCGAAGACCCGGGTTCGATTCCCCACATGGGTACAATGTGTTAAGCCCATTTCTGGTGTCACCCGCCGTGATATTGCTGGAATATTGCTAAAAGCGGCGTAAAACCAAACTCACTGACTCACTAGAATGTAGGGTATCGTACATTGTTTTGTTTGCGGAAATTTCCTTGCCAAGTTAAAGGGGAGTCTTAACTCCATAAAACTAGTTCCTTCTGCGTTTTGCGTCTATTTCATTGTCCAAGAGGATTCTTTTAGAGATAGACCCTCGCGGTTACTTCGTGCTATGTTAACCCAGTCGAGGTTATTCCCTCATTAGAGAGTTGAGTTCATTCATTCCCATGTGTTAATTGGTAGCAGCTGACTTAACTGTCTGTGCATCTTGACTGAAAAGCTTAGAACCATTATTACTTTCAGGGGTATCTTCTCGTTATGACTACTCTCAATATGACTACTCCCACTTTGCCTACTAATGAACATAAACATATAATGGAGCACCCCTGCACTTAATAATGCACTGTACTTGTATAGCTGATTACTCCCAGTTTGACTACTCCCAAAATGACTACTCCCACTTTGCCTACTAATGAACATAAACATATAATGGAGCACCCCTACACTTAATAATGCACTGTACCTGTATAGTTGATTACTCCCAGTTTGACTACTCTCAATATGACTACTCCCACTTTGCCTACTAATGAACATAAACATATAATGGAGCACCCCTGCACTTAATAATGCACTGTACTTGTATAGCTGATTACTCCCAGTTTGACTACTCCCAAACTGACTACTCCCACTTTGCCTACTAATGAACATAAACATATAATGGAGCACCCCTACACTTCATAATGCACTGTACCTGTATAGTTGATTACTCCCAGTTTGACTACTCTCAATATGACTACTCCCACTTTGCCTACTAATGAACATAAACATAGAATGGAGCACCCCTGCACTTAATAATGCACTGTACCTGTATAGCTGATTACTCCCAGTTTGACTACTCTCAATATGACTACTCCCACTTTGCCTACTAATGAACATAAACATATAATGGAGCACCCCTACACTTCATAATGCACTGTACCTGTATAGTTGATTACTCCCAGTTTGACTACTCTCAATATGACTACTACCACTTTGCCTATTAATGAACATAAACATATAATGGAGCACCCCTGCACTTCATAATGCACTGTACCTGTATAGTTGATTACTCCCAGTTTGACTACTCTCAATATGACTACTCCCACTTTGCCTACTAATGAACATAAACATATAATGGAGCACCCCTGCACTTAATAATGCACTGTACCTGTATAGCTGATTACTCCCAGTTTGACTACTCTCAATATGACTACTCCCACTTTGCCTACTAATGAACATAAACATATAATGGAGCACCCCTACACTTCATAATGCACTGTAGCTGTATAGCTGATTACTCCCGCTTTGTCTACTCTTTGAAATAAACCTATTAGGGAGACTCCCAGGGACTACCCGTATTTGAATCATTAGAAGCCAAGTGAACAGGCATCTTGTGACCATTCATTGTTTGTTTTGATATTAATTACACCACTGTGTAAAGGGTAGGGGAAGTACTTGGTTATCTGGATGACCTGTAGCGTTGCCTCAGGAGAAAGAGCAAAGTATATTTTACTTTCTAAGAATACATTTATTTTGTTGCTACGTTTAGCTAGAGTAGCAAGTTTTAACACGTTTGGGCGTACATAAAGAATGGTGACAACCGTTTCTTTTCTATATTCGTAAAGTAATCACAACTCAAACGTGTATGAGGGTCATTCTCACTTACCCAGCAGCTTTTGTCTTTAGGGTCCCAGTTCACTGGAGCCAGATAATCCCCTACAACAAAAGGTGGGCTTTTTATTTTGTTCTCTGTGGTATTTGGTCACCTGTGATATCTAGTCACTGTGTTGTATGATCCTGTAAACTATGAAACCTTTACATTAAGGAATAAGTTTGACAGAATATTGATCGAACACTTTTATTTTTACATGACACATATCAATAATTTACATCGCTTTATATCCATGTTATATAAACATATATTTTATATACATCTTATATACATCATATTAAATACATCTTAAATACTCTTATATACATCACCTTAAATACATCTTATGTACATCATCTTATATACACATCAGTTCCATACACTACAAATTACACATAAGTACCCGGTGAGATGAGATGCACAATCTGTGTACTGAGTCACAGACAAATCACCAGCTTGAAATCTGGTCTTGAAGGTGGCAAGTCGACTGTCCACCTCAATGTAGACTTGAATGAATGAATGGTTTATTCTCATGAAGATCACGCAATAGTGACATAGAGAAAAATACAAATGTACAGATTTGTTTCATGGGAGCATACGTAGTCCGGTTTTCACATAGTTGCTTATTTTTAACAATAGTGCTTTATGCTGACAAGATTATTAGATATATATATTTGTCTAATGATGGATAATTACAATACTAGTTTGGTAGGAATGAATTTCTTACATTACTTAAACATGGACAATATAACATGAAGTGAAGTTCATCTCCTATTGTGTTCTTACACAGTGTACATAATCTTTCTTCTTTAATAATATTATACCATCTACCTGTTTCTATTTAAAGTTTATGGTTACAAGTTCTAATATAGGTAAGCCAAATGCGTACATTTAATGGGAGATGTAATAGATAACTTTCAAGGTATGGATATATCTTAAACATATTATAATAGTGGCCTTTAGTAGATTTCGATTTACATTCGTTCCAGTGTTGATAAAACTGGTTACATAATATAGACTTAAGGTTACTTTTAAGCCAAATCTTACTTGTACAGGTTTGAGACATCCATATATAGTTTAAGCCAGAACATTCCAAAATTGTTTTAACAACACTGATAAGAGGTAAATATATGTTTGGGTCATTCGTTTTCATTGTAAACATGATCCGATATAAAATACTAGACAATGTGCCAGTTGATGAGATTAGTTTGCACCAATATGAAATGATTCTAACCTTTATAAGGATATCTGTTGGATATCTTCCCAGTTCACCATATATCATATAATCTGGTGTTGATTGCTGAACTTTTAATATATATTTACCAAATTTTAAATGAACCCTTTCTAAGATAGTACTCTTCTCGAACCCCCAGACTTCTGAGCCGTATAACACAATTGGCTGCACAAGGTGATCGAACACTTTTATTTTTACATGACACATTTCAATAATTTACATCGCTTTATATCCATGTTATATAAACATACATATTATATACATCTTAAATACTCTTATACACATCACCTTAAATACATCTTATGTACATCATCTTATATACACATCAGTTCATACACTACAAATTACACATAAGTACCCGGTGAGATGAGAATGCACAATCTGTGTACTCAGTCACAGACAAATCACCAGCTTGAAATCTGGTCTTGAAGGTGGCAAGTCGACTGTCCACCTCAATGTAGACAGGTGGCTAATTAGGTGAGCTAGGCCCGTGAGCTAATCCTCCAGCTTGCGGGACCATATCTCACAGGGATGAACAGTATTTGCACAATCAAGCAAACATAACTGTTAATCCACCTAAGCTGCTGGGTGAACGAGACGACCCCGTACAATACATAATAGTATCAAATGTTTACATGCACTAAGGACATAAAGCATTACTCGAGATAACATTTTGTGAAGGAAGATGTCAGAACTAAACGTTATATCCTTGTCCCGGACTTTAGAAACAGAGCTTTTATATCCCAGATACATCATATTCGTCGTTACTTTATATTGTTTAACACAGTTAAAACGAAGGTATAAATGCATAAGTCGTTGACGTAGAACTTGAAGCCCATTTAATACAATTATTGCTAAAGGTGTAGTGTGAGCACACAACAATTATCAACTTTGTTGGAACATTAACTGTACAAGTGTATGATCGTATTGTTTGAGTTTCATCTATTTGAATTATATTAACCTTTATTTATCATATCACTTAACATATGATGCCTCAAGATATTTATGTAAAAATATGCAATAACAGTTCCTGTTTTCTATTTGAAACCTGTATGTTGATTATTAACATCAGCTTTGACAATGTAGCATATGTTATATTTGGGATTGCACTTTCTTCGAACCCACACCTTCAGAGGATGGGACTCAACCCAACAAAAGTACTAGAATTTGTACTTTACTAAGAAAGTGCAATCCAAAATATAACATGTTACATTTGACCACTTTCTAAATGGCATTATGTATTCAAAACTTTGACAATGTTCCCAACCTATGATTTCTTTTAGCATGTGAATACTCGAGTATTATAGTCTGAAATAAAACAATTCGTTTCTGTTGAAATGTGTTGGCCCCAATATATGTGACTCATACATCTGTCTAAGTAGCAGATATTTCTAAAACATAGATGCGTATGCATGTATATAGATTGTGACTGGAACTGAAAGGTAAGAACATTCCTGGTATTGTATATGCTGATAAACACTTGTGTGTTAATATCTGGATTTGACCTAACAGTTAATAATGAAGTAAGGTGCCTGACATGTGTGACGAACATTCCCTGCCTCCGTTACATTTTGCCTCCATCTCATTCTGCTGCTTTCTGTTTGTGTCTACATTTCTCTATTACAGTTTATTCTACCTTTGTCTAATCCAGCCTACATCCCGATCTGCCGTCTTCTTATTGTTCCTACAACTCATTGGTCCTCCATCTTATTCAGACGAAATTTCGATTAACCTACTTCCCATTCTCCCTGCATCGTCTTCTCCCAACGTCTTATTTTGCCTACATCTCCTTGTGCTTAAATCTCATTCACTGCCTACATCTCGTTTAACAAACTTCCCATTCTCCCTGCATCGTCTTCTCCCAACGTCTTATTTTGCCTACATCTCCTTGTGCTTAAATCTCATTCACTGTCTACATCTCGTTTAACAAACTTCCCATTCTCCCTGCATTGTCTTCTCCCAACGTCTTATTTTGCCTACATCTCCTTCTGCTTAAATCTCATCACTGCCTACATCTCGTTTAACAAACATCCCATTCTCCCTGCATCGTCTTCTCCCAACGTCTTATTTTGCCTACATCTCCTTCTGCTTAAATCTCATTCACTGCCTACATCTCCTTCTGCTCAAATCTCATTCACTGCCTACATCTCCTTCTGCTTAAATCTCATTCACTGCCTACATCTCCTTCTGCTTAAATCTCATTCACTGCCTACATCTCCTTCTGCTTAAATCTCATTCACTGCTTGCATCTCCTTCTGCTTAAATCTCATTCACTGCCTACATCTCGTTTAACAAACTTCTCATTCTGCCCACATCTGGAGGAGCCTACTTTAATCTGAAAGCAATTGAAGGAAGCAAACATGCTATTTGTAACGTAAACAACGATATCAAGAAATATTATGTTCATTCAATCCAAGCCATCCGAGTTTTTAAGATTAAATAGCCAAAGGCCATATTTAATTTTACAGTTAAGCGCAACTGTTCCTCGCGATCGGCCATGCGTACTGCTGAAATGGGTGTCGTTGTGAGTGATGGTATATGCTACTTTTACAGTAATTGGACTTCACTTTGAAAAGAGTGGTTTGGAACAAGTGGTCTTCACTTGGACACTAAAGTTTCCAAGATGTCGAGGATTACTTTTCGGCGCTTTGTCCTCGTCACGGCGTTGGTGATTTTGATGACGTTCATATGGACATATAGGAAAAATATGAAACTGGATTTAGATGATTCTCCAAGGAACGCAGCAGTGATTGGTGTAAGTATATCCTGTCATGATAGTGTCATTCAAACAGATAATGTATGTCAATTACTATTGCACTATAGTTAATTACGCATTATTGTTTTGCTTGTGCACCCATTCACGAAACACTAATGCATATATTATGCTGATACATGAATATATTACAATGTATTTGAATTTCAGACCAGCTGAATGAGAGATGAATGGAATGGAGGTTAACCTTGATAGCGTCTCATACATAACCAGGAGGTCTCATAACGAGACAAGCATCTCTGAAGGCAGTACTAGTATGTTCTATATACTCACAATATGTGATTGACACACCCTGTACTGAAGACCAGATGTGTAGTCAGATACATGTGCTGTCAGGCATGGTTATTGGGAGTTGAATTACACAACTCGTACAACGGGTATTGACACACCCTGTACATGTGTAGTCAGATACCTGTGCTGTCACACGTGGTAAATGGGAGTGGAATTGTACTCGCGTCTTATGTTGATCTCTTCTATAATGGCGAAAAACACTTTTCTTTATCATATAGATAACGGTGTGATCAAACATGTTGTCCGGTTTGGTCACCATCTCCTTTTGATATTTCAGAATCCAGTGCCAAACAGTGTCTTAATCAAAGGATCAAAAGGCGGAGTTCACACTTCTTCAACAAAGGCACAAGCACTTGTATAGTATTCCTAGACATTGAGAAAGTTGTTTCGGCAAATATCTAATCATGTATAAAAGCTATAGACGTTTTACTTAAATGAATATGTTAAAATGTGATTCTCTTACAGTCTAAATGTCCTTTCAATACATTTTGAGGCCTCCTTGCCCTGCTATACACGATTGAATGCGCCTAGGTACACACTAGGTACACTTCATATGTGTGATAATCCTTTTATGTTTTAAGCGTACATTTTATACATTTTATGCACATTATGTCTAGTGTGTCTCATTGGCAATCTGGCCTGGTGCTTGTATATTTTATGTGTTTACCTCTGCCTTTTTAATTCAATCTTTATTCATACTGAAGGCCACGGGCCCATAGTATACAAGAACATAGTACACAATATCATAGAAAAGAATAAAAATAGTCAAATCACAATATGTCATATCGCATCAAAATGTATCACATCATATAACATCGCATTACACATACTTTGTCGTATCACATCATATCATAACACCCCATGTTACATCATGTCATATCATACCATGTATCATATCATATCATATCATATCGCACCACATCATACCATATCGTAACAAATAACAATATGAATACATACATTCTATGAATTATTATGTTTATTTCTTAGAGACGATGCTTGATAGATAAAGGTTGACAACTTACGGATAAGAACATTGTCATCAGTACTCATTTACAAAGAAAATTTCACCCTATCGGGATATACAGAATAATATCTTGGGACATTTTTTTTCTTAACTCACAATATAATGGGCAAATTTAGAGGAAGTGATATTCATCTTCTACACAATTAAGATCACAAAATGTACAAATTCTATTTTACCTCTCTATTTTATGATATCTCCCTGTTTCGATTGCCAAGTCATGTGAGGAACACCTAAACCGAGCAAAAGCCTTTCGAAATTTCTTGATATTTAGTGAGAGCAGATAATTCTCTCTGTATATATGGGATTTAAACATTCTACAATTGAAACATTTACTTGACAATGACAGTGCTCCTACCCATTCTTGTGTATATATATCTTTGAGCCTTTGAGTAACATTATTCACAAAATTTGTATGAAAGTCAACATTTTGCCTTTGCCATACCTCCCCAAAACCTATTGTATTTAACAATTCTCGAATGTAAGTCACCCAGTTAGTCTTCCCGTTGTTATCGTACATTAACATCATATCATAACACTGTCTAGAGTATCTATCAGATGGCATATATAACAGACGTATCCAATATTTTATTATTCTAGCTTTAGCAAAAATGTGTATGGGAAATCTTCCACAATCTCCATATACCATGGCATTAGGTGTACTTACTTTCACTCCTAAAAAATTCTTGCAAGTATATAAGTGTATTTTCTCAATTACGTCAAAATTATTGAAACCCCATACCCCTGAACCATACAATAGAATAAGAAGGGTTTTTGTATCAAATATTTTGAAAAAAGAATGATAATCAATATCTACGAGTTTGTGAATACTTTTGAGAACCCCAATAAGTACCCTTTTGGCTAGTGTGGAACAATATTTAGCATGTGCTGAAAAGCCAAGACGATTAGTGAAGTAGACTCCAAGGTATTTATATGATTGTGTGACTTGGAGCGGCTCTCCTTTATAATTCCATTTTTCCGTTATAGATAGTTTGCCCCCATTTATGAATACGACTATTCTAGTTTTCTCAAAATTAACAGTTAATCCTGCCTCATTGCAATAATGTTCCAACTCATGTATATGCCTTTGTAATCCAACAACAGTAGTCGCAAACAGAATCATATCATCGGCAAACAACAATAAAAACAATTGTGTCAAATAGGGATGCAACTGGATACCATGAGTACCATTTTGTTGTATTATCGAAGCAACTTCATTAATGAACATTGAGAACAGGAATGGACTCAGAATACAGCCTTGTCTAAGCCCAACATTGCAATTGAAGGTATCTGATATTTCATGATTATTTCTGATGCAAACTTTCACATTATCATATATCTTCTGTAGCAATCTATTCATCTTAGAGCTAATACCATGTTTTTGCATTACCCCCCAAAGTTTTTCTCTCTGTATTGAATCAAACGCTTTCTTAAAATCGACAAACAAAGCATACATTTTCTTTCCCTTTGTATTTAGACACTTCTGAACAATTGAATTAAGTATAAAGATATTATCGACAGTACTGTATCCTGCCCTAAAGCCGGCTTGGGATTCATCTAGTTTATCAAAAGTATTTGCCCAAAAAGTCAATCTCTTGTTGATAATATAGACAAAAACCTTTCCCAATATACTTAACAGATGTATACCTCTATAATTATCAACATTATTCATGTTCCCGATTCTTATGAATTGGGATAATAATTCCAATAGTCCAAGTCGATGGAAAATTACCGCTCTCTAAAATAACATTAAAAATCAACTCAAAGTAAGGTAATAAGATATCTTCAGAATATTTAATAAATTCAGGTAATATATCATCAACACCCGCTGCTTTGTTTACCTTTAAGTGTCTTATACTATCTAGAATTTCTTGTCTGGTAATAGGTGGATCTAGAATATCATTAGTCAATAGGTCAAAGTCAGTTGGTGTGCTTGTACGTACATTAGTACTCTCGTTGCCAGCACTTACTTTTTAATTGCAATGTACATTCACGTGACACAAAAATAAACTATTTTGTCTGTCTTTTTGTCTGACTAACCATCAAAGTTTGTAGGAAATCGTGTGACAGCGTATCTCAATATTCAATCACTTCCTTCTTCATATCCTCAATATGTCTAGTCCTTTTTGGTTTATTCTGTCCTTCATTAGTCCCCACACATTCTCAATAGGGCTACGATATGGGCTTTAGCTGGGCTACACAACATTTGAACAGTTTTGTCCCATAACCACTGTTTTCTGTAGCACAGAGTGTGTTTTGAGTCGTTATCATGCTGGGTAATCCAATTATCTTCATACAGTGTTCGGGCCGTTCAAGAGTTGCCACCCATATTGTGTACCTTACTACAAAATGTAACACCTATTTTAAAATTATCAATATTAGGAAACAAAGATTTTCTCAATAATTTCTGGGAAAACTGTATGCTATTTCCGGATTCACCAAAGGAGGAAACATCTTAAACCTGAATCACTTCAGATTACCCTCAACAACATAACTGGAATATTGATCATATCTCAAATTAACTGACCAGGATGTGAATTGCATAATATCAATTTCCAGCAATAATAACCATTGTGACTGACACTCTGTGGTGAAGGCCAGGGTCTAGATTTCCGAAGCTCTCTTAGCTTAAGATAGTCGTAACCTCATGGGTAGTCGCATCTGTCTTTGTCTTAGGCTATTTTCGAAACTATCGTAAAACTTAAGATATCTTAGCTAAGATCATTATCTAAGATAGGTATATACTTGTCGTAACTAAGGTTGCGCGCACTTACACCTTATTCACGTCTGTTATATTTACATAGGGGAATTCCGTGACGTCATCGGGGATTCCCTGGATACGGTTTACGACAGCTGTCGTATCTAGCTTGACCTTACGACGGATTTACGAGCGTTTCGAAAATCTCTCTTATGGTCGCGCTAAGATTATCTTAACTGTACGACCTGTCTTAGTTATGAGAGCTTCGAAAATCTAGGCCCTGTGTAATTTGATACCAGTACTATGACGAATGGTCAATGGGAATGAATGTCATCCACCGCTGCTTCTCTCCGTATCTGATTTTGATGGACAACTCTTGAAAGCCACTGATCCCTATCATATAGATAACGGAATGAGCAAATATGTTGACCGGTTTTGTCACTTTCTTCCTTTGATATTTCAGAATCCAGTGCCAGCAGGCCAGCCCATGCCCACGCTGCAGGTGCTGAAGACGTTGGACAGACGACAGCTGTCACAGATATACCACAAGTAAACACGAATAAATAATAAACTTTGATTACCTGGAACTCATGCAAATACCAGCGTGTGTGTCTTTTTCCAGTTTGATCGGAAAAGATAGTGATAGTGACCACGTTCTACTATTTTCACAGGTCTTAGGATAGTACTTGGTTGACACGTGTCATCGTACTCACTCACTCACTCACTCACGCACGCACGCACTCACTCACTCACTCACTCACTCACTCACTCACTCACTCACTCACTCACTCACTCACTCACTCAAACCTGCCAAGGGTCACATTGTGTTTAATGCATGACCAGTTACGACTAAGCCACGGATGTATGTTTTAGTGGCACGCGTGTGATATATGATCATACGATACAGATATACACATTGCACCTTGGTTCTGTAAGCTTAAGAGATACTGGTCAACGATTTTGCCCGATGCTCGTTAACAAATATTATTTCCCGTATTCAAACGATCATGCTCAAGATGTATTTGAAAGGCAAACAGAAAACATTCAATCCCCTCAAATCAGTAATACAACGTCAACGTCAGAGGAACACGTTTCAAATGAAATTGTCCGAACCAACGCATGGATAAACGAGTTATGGGATAAGATGGACAGGATTAATATCCTGTTTAAACTGATGTTCCCAAGGAGCTAAAGGGATTTGCGTAAATAATTCAATGGATTTCTATTCAGCTATGTGAACAGCGTTCAGATGTCGTGTAAGAACATGGTCAGGCGTGGCAACATCGGTGACGGTGGCTGGAACGTTTGTGAAGACCCTCCATACGGAATGAAGACACCCTGTAATATTTATTCATTTGGGTAGGTCCTCTGTCATATATGGCCAAAATTGATCAAATTATTCATGTTAGAATTGCCCTTGTCTGGTGACAAGCTTCGATGACTAGTTACGTCAGTACTTGATTATCATCGATATTGTAATGAACTACCAATAATTCTAATTGTAGTGTATAGTTCCAGTATATTCTTTCAAATGCCACAAGGGTCGGTTGGGTAGCCTAGTGGTTAAGGCATTCACTCGTTCACCGAAGACCCGGGTTCGATTCCCCACATGGGCACAATATTTGAAGCCCATTTCTGGTGTTCCCCGCTGATATTGCTGGAATATTGCAAAAAAGCGGCGTAAAACTAAACTCACTCACTCACTCCAAATACCACCATTCTGATTACCCTTCGAATGAAATCACGACTGACTATGTATGGAGTGTATTCTCCTAATCAGTTCCACCTTACATCTTCAAATGGGCTTCACACATTGTAGCCATGTGGGGAATCGAACCCGGGTCTTCGGCATGACGAGCGGACGCTTTAGCCACTAGGCCACTATTGTGACGGACTGCCAATAATTCTAATTGAATAACCACCAGCAGGCTCACACTTTCAGCGACGTGTGTGTGTTTTGTTATAAAATATGAAATATAGGTATTGTAAGTTAGGGAGCCTTGAGGTTCGAGTTTTCGCACCTCACTCAGAACATGATTTGTGTATTCCTCGGAGAACATGGTCACGTTGTTCCACTGTGTGTATGTGCGTGCGTGCGTGCGTGCGTGCGTGCGTGCGTGCGTGCGTGCGTGCGAGTGTAAACTTTTCTCCTGATCAGTTCCACCGTACATCTTTCAGGATCAACTACGACTGGAGCTTCGACGACGCAGTAGCGACAGCATCCGGCTGCCATGTCCACTCGTATGATCCAAGGTGTGTGCTTTCATAAATACGGGACCAAATGACAGATTTTACTATTTTACTTTTGAAACACAGGCCTAACATTACTAGTTTTCAGCGCTGTTTTCATATAAAAACTGTACCCTCGAAAGTTGAGCTCATCGTATATTGCCGTGTGCACATGCACTTTGTCATGAATCAAATGTTTATACCTCTGTAAATATTTGTTTATGTTGGATTCCCGATGCATCCCTTTTAATTGTAAGAGATACTGAATATTTTTAATCCTTCCCAACTTTACTTGAGTTTACAAGAATTTATACATTAGGAAATTTTCGAATGTGTTCATGCCTTGGAATGTTATGTATAGTTCCGGATATCAAGGGTGTGTATTGCAACTGCTTGTATATATTCATATTACAGATACTGAAACAAGATAGTTACAGTTGTTTCAACGATGTGAAATATTGGGTTTACATTGCTTAATTTTCACATTTGCTGATACCCTTGGCATCAAGGCTCAAATGACCTTTTGAAGCTCATACTGCTTAAGGTCTGGCTAAGCGAATTAGTGGTATGCATGTGGTGTGCGTGTTTCCATTTGGTCACTATACTTCAACCTTGTCATTTCTTTGGATGTTAGCGGAAAAGTGGGGAAAACATCTCCAGATAATGAGTGTGTGAGTTTAGTTTTACGCCGCACTCAGCAATATTCCAGCTATATGGCGGCGGTCTGTAAATAATCGAGTCTGCACCAGACAATCCAGTGATCAACAACACGAGCATCGATCTGCGCAATTGGGAACCGATGGCATGTGTCAACCAAGCCAGTGAGCCTGGCCACCTGATCCCGTTAGTCGCCTCTTACGACAAGCATGGGTTACTGAAGGTTCATTCTAACCCGGACCTTCACGGGTTACCTTGGAAGACTACAGTGTTCTCATACTGTTGGATTTTCAATTTCTTCACTGGACATGCGCAGTTGATCAAAGATCAGTAGACTGTATATAATAACATTTTTCGAAAATGCATACATGCATGCACGCACGCACACACACACATACACCGTTGGTAGTTCATGATCCCCAACTAATTTCAAGTGTATATTATAAAACTGTGTTTCATACCTCGTTAGGATGAGAAAGCCACAATAACTCGGTGCGCCTAGTGGCTGCAAGAGTTGCATACTCCCGAGGGAGTTGAGATTGATAATGCGATGTGCCGTTGAGATTGGCATCCGATGATCGAGGGAAAAAATACCAGCGCCTTGAGCATGCACCAGTGCGTGGATAAGTGCGCCATATAAATATCCTATAATAATGTGTATTCGTTGTTAATGTGTTTCATATGATGTTATGTGTATTCGTTGTTAATGTGTTTCAGCATGACAAAAGTATCAGACCACGACAGGAGAAGTAACATTCATTTCCATAGAACAGGCCTTAATTCTACCGACACCTCAAACATCAAGGGTTGGCGAATGCGAACTTTTTCATCAATTATAAAGGAAAATAACCACACACAGGTAGGTCGGATGTATATATTTTAATGTAGTAATCAACAAGCGCGTGCAGTGAAATTTCATTTTCACACGTACAAGTCGCACACATGGCTATTCTACCAGCAAGTGGTCCTCCCTCGTAAGAAATAGCGAAAAGTGCCAACAAAATAATGAACGTTTGTTAACTCAACTTTTTTATTCGGGTGTCCAAAATTATGAGACAAATCATCAGAGTTGGTCTGTCGATTTCATGCGACTGTGCAAAAATTTGGTTTTGTTGCATTTATCAGTTTTTGTGTAAGTGAGCAATTCATCGGTCTCAAATGAAGTCAAACGGACTATAATTTGTCCAACAGCTCCAGCCTTTGTTGTTTGCATTTCAAAACTTTTGAGGTACAACCGAGCGGGCTCTTTTTATAAGGATTTCGAAGAGGTCATACCACTCGTGCTCAGAAGTTATTCGATCAAGGTTACAGCATTCAAGACCTCAGTAAAGCTTTCAAAAGGTTTTATGGTAGACACGGTAGATCACATCGTATATCTGTAATAAACACACTCATGGTATGGTCACAATTGTTCAATCTACTTTCTTTGGAAAGTGGAAAGAGTTTTGTCGTTTCCTTTAACGAGCGTAGCGTAGCCCCCCCACGAGCATCTATAAGGTGGCAGTAAATATATCACTCTCTCCTACCTGTTAAGTTATAACACACTTTTTGAATCATGCAAGATTATGGCCTGATAAATGTTCATCGTATTAGCAGCTTAATGATTAAAACCGTGTCAACATTCAAATTTAAGACTGGTGAATTATTTTGTTGGCTAGTAACTTTCAGGGATAGTCAACCCGACTGGCTAGCAAAATCTGGAAACTGTTTCGCACACTGCAAGGTGGACACATTATTACCCAGACACTGCATAGTTGTCAATCTGCATGCAGCAAACTTTGAGCCCAATGTCTAAAAACAAACCACTTGTGTGACCGACATAACTTCACCATCACTGTGCCGCCATATATGCGCGTTTCATATGGATCAGAATATATGTGAGGGTCACTGTAGCGTAGATCGATTCTATCTCACACTGTTGATCACCAGTCAAAGATTGTCTGGTCGATTATTTATAGCAGGAATATTGCTGAGTACGGCGTTAAACAAAAAAATTAAAAAAACAACTTTTGGGTGTATTATATCAATCCAGTTGCAACATTCTGCTACTATTACTTTGGTGTCTACTTCCCGTGTACGTACGAGCTCCCTGGCGCTTGAGTGAACTCTGTTTCAAACTTGTTTTCAAACACTGAAACACTGACTGACTGAGTTTAGTTTTACACCGCTTTTAGCAATATTCCAGTAATATCACGGCGGGGGACACCAGAAATGGGCTTAACACATTGTGCCCATGTGGGGAATCGAACCCGGGTCTTCGGCGTGACGAGCCAACGCTTAACCACTAGGCTACCCCACCGCCCCCAAACACTAGAACAAAACATGCCTAGAACTAAAATATATGCTGAAAAACATTAGAAACGCACCACACATATAATACGAAATATCCCCGTCAGACTGAAATGTACCCATGATATCTGAGCATCGTCGGTGCATTTAGTGTGGTGCGTTTCTAATGTTGTTCAGTATATATTTGTCATACATATGTTCCATTTGATAAATAGTTCTCATTACTCTCGACAGAGAATGCGACGTAAAATATCGACAGCAAATCTTTTAATCACTAGTTTTCTCAACGCGAGGTGGCGACTTACGGTAAACGATCGAGTTTGGACCTAACAGTCGCATCTACATTGCATCTTTATGGTTCCCCCAATTCACTTTAAATACAAAGTATCTAGTTTAATCCTCAATATCTTAGCATTTTACATCATTCTGTTATTTGCCTTAAGTTATTAATGGGTTCACGGTGTGCTATTTAAAAAAAATCATATATACAATTAACCCGATGAACGCAAAAGGTTAATATTACGATTACTGTAACTGATGTTTCCTTAACATTGTAATGGCAAGAGCTACATTCACTGTACAGTATACATGTATATTGACTCCGTTAACGTATTTTCTGTTCTAGGCTATAATCGATCTGCTCAAGATTGACATTGAAGCTTCGGAGTGGTTTGCCTTTCCTGAAATGTTACAAAGTGGAAGTCTGAAAAATGTGAAACAGTTTTGTTTTGAACTCCATATCAAGCTGGGAAATAACCCAGAGCCGGACATAGCCAAGTACCTGAAAGGTCTGGAGCTGCTGAGAGACTTCTATAATGCTGGATTTAGGATATTCCATACAAATAAAAATATGGATGCCAAATACAAGTCAATGTTTGGCATGGAACGAACAGGTTGCCATGAGATTTACATGGTACGCAGTGACACACAGACATTTGATTAACATGGCTTGGTTCTGTTTAAATTGTCTTGTAAACGTCTTCTCAGCAGCCTGAGAGATATTATACAAGGATTACACCTGTGTTTGGTTCTTGCCAGCTTTAACCTAAATGCGAGATGAATTGTGAAGAGGCCATAAGTGTGTGGACTTTAGGGTGGTAAATGTAGCATCAACACCGTGACGACTGACTAAACTGCAACTGCTATCACCTTGACAACCATACCCACAACATGTAACACCAGTACTGTGACGGTTGACTGCACTACAGCCACTATCACCTTGACAACCATACCCACAACATGTAACACCCGCACTGTGACGGTTGACTGCACTACAGCCACTATCACCTTGACAACCATACCCACAACATGTAACACCCGCACTGTGACGGTTGACTGCACTACAGCCACTATCACCTTGACAACCATACCCACAACATGTAACACCAGTACTGTGACGGTTGACTGCACAACAGCCACTATCACCTTGACAACCATACCCACAACATGTAACACCAGTACTCTGACGGTTGACTGCACTACAGCCACTATCACCTTGACAACCATACCCACAATATGTAACACCCGCACTGTGACGGTTGACTGCACTACAGCCACTATCACCTTGACAACCATACCCATAACATGTAACACCCGCACTGTGACGGTTGACTGCACTACAGCCACTATCACCTTGACAACCATCCCCACAACATGTAACACCAGTACTGTGACGGTTGACTACACTACAGCCACTATCACCTTGACAACCACCCCCACAACATGTAACACCAGCACTGTGACGGCAGAGTCCACTACAGCCACTATCACCTTGACAACCATACCCACAGCATGTAACACCAGTACTGTGACGGTTGACTGCACTACATCCACTATCACCTTGACAACCATACCCACAACATGTAACACCAGTACTGTGACGGTTGACTGCACTACAGCCACTGTCACCTTGACAACCATACCCACAACATGTAACACCAGTCCTGTGACGGTTGACTGCACTACAGCCACTATCACCTTGACAACCATACCCACAGCATGTAACACCAGTACTGTGACGGTTGACTGCACTACAGCCACTATCACCTTGACAACCATACCCACAACATGGAACACCAGTACTGTGACGGTTGACTGCACTACATCCACTATCACCTTGACAACCATACCCACAGCATGTAACACCAGTACTGTGACGGTTGACTGCAATACAGCCACTATCACCTTGACAACCATACCCACAACATGTAACACCAGTACTCTGACGGTTGACTGCACTACAGCCATTATCACCTTGACAACCATACCCACAACATGTAACACCAGTACTGTGACGGTTGACTGCACTACAGCCACTATCACCTTGACAACCATCCCCACAACATGGAACACCAGTACTGTGACGGTTGACTGCACTACATCCACTATCACCTTGACAACCATACCCACAGCATGTAACACCAGTACTGTGACGGTTGACTGCAATACAGCCACTATCACCTTGACAACCATACCCACAACATGTAACACCAGTACTGTGACGGTTGACTGTATTACAGCCATTATCACCTTGACAACCATCCCCACAACATGTGACACCCGCACTGTGACGGTTGACTCCACTACAGCCGCTATCACCTTGACAACCATCCCCACAACATGTGACACCAGCACTGTGACGGTTGACTCCACTACAGCCGCTATCACCTTGACAACCATCACCATGTAACTTGTGAAACTGATGAAATAGAACTCATGATAGAGTCAGAATTGTACAACCGACTCTGATTTTAGCAGATATTTTTTATGGATGTGGAAAGTGTTTTGTTGCTTCTATTCCAGGGCTAGAACGACAAGATATCCTGAATATTCTGTCTGTCTTCTTATTCATTAAACGTTGAGCAATGCGATGGCGACCACAGTGGTTCTGAAACCTTTGTTGATGTATATCCCAGTCTGTGCTGGGAAGAGTAAGACCTTAAAGAAACCAGTGCCACATCCATGAAGTGTTACAGAATAAACCTTTCATCACATTTACACTATTTACACAATATGTTATTGTTAACACAGTATATCCGTTTTTGACAACTTATTCACGTTTGTTCCAAATATCCTACTGATATGTGAGGTGGTGGGATAGCCTAGTGGTTAAAACGTTGGCTCGTCACACTGAAGACCCGGGTTCGAATCCCCACATGGGTACAATGTGTAAAGCCCATCTCTGGTGTCCCCCGCCGTGATGTTGCTGGAATATTGCTAAAAGCGGCGTAAAACCAAAATCAGTCAGTCAGTCCTACTGATATGCACAGGAATCCGTCTACGGCGTGACAATTGTCTGCACAGAATTGCCTCCCCTTGAGGACGCAAGAAATCTATAATGTCGCGTTCTCCCACCGAATGAACCTCCTCCGTGGTGTAGTGGTTAGAGCGTTCGCCCGGAGAGCGGAAGGTCGCGGGTTCGATCCCCGACCGCGTCATACCAAAAGACGTTCAAATATGGTACTTGTTGGTCCCTGCCTGGCGCTCGGCATTAATGGGTACAACAAGGACTGGTCGGCTCGAAGTCAGTATAATGTGTCTGAGTGGGGTATTCATGCTTCACTGCGGCTAGCACTATAAAACCAACTTAAGTCTGGGCTAGTACAAGCAGCCGCACATACACATACACACGCATGCACGTCTTCATATGAGCGAAATATTCTCAAGCACGACCTTAAACCCAATTTCACCTCACCTCTCCCACCGAATGTGTTTCTATCAGTGTCATTACTTTTCAATTTTGTATTTACTTTTGTCGTAAATACAGACCACACAAGGATCCAGACGTATCTTTAGATGGTACTCCCATCAAGGTAGTAGAAGAGGCCAAATTCCTGGGTCTCATATTCGACCGCTACCTGACATTCTTGCCACACATAAAATATTTGAAAACCAAGTGCTTGAAAGCTCTGGACCTACTAAAAGTCGTTTCAAATACAGAGTGGGGAGGGGATCAGATTACCCTCCTTCACTTGTACAGATCTTTGGTTCACTCTAAACTAGACTACGGCTCCATTGTTTATGGTGGAGCCTGCAAAAGCAATTTAGAAACATTAGATTCTATCCACCACCAAGGCTTGAGGCTCTGCCTGGGAGCTTTCAGGACCTCTCCGGTAGACAGTCTATATGCAGAGGCTAACGAACCTTCCCTTGAACAACGCCGCATTAAACTTTCACTGCAGTATATCACTAAACTACGTTCAAATCAGTCCAATCCAGCATACAATTGTGTTTTCAACCCTCTCTATGAAAGCTTGTTTCCTAAACTGCCAAGCCTGGTCGATCTTACCCTCACTAAATTCAAAAAGTCTGAAACAAATCCCTTGGTGTTCCAGCAGGAATACATCCAGTTACGTTCCAAGTAACACCCATAGATCCATTTTCACAGACGGATCCAAGTTGCCAGTGCTACAGTCATTGGACGCCGCGATCATGATATTGATACCATGCCTTATCGTTTGATAATATGCGCTCTGATCTTCACAGTGCATTTGTCACTCTCTGCCCTCATCATATGTAACCAGCAGGCTATTCTCAATTACTCATTTGATAATTTTGTGCCGAAAGAAACAACATTTTATTGTGTTACGTGTGACGTCACCAACTCGAACTGTGACCTAATCCTGTCTATATACCATGCCTCTCATGCTGCCCATGCACGAGCTTTGTGTCTACTTGGGGACGACACGCTTCCCGTGCGAGTCGTCATCCAGCGACTGTTGTGCTCTAATGATGTTGAGACAAACCCGGGACCCGTCACACTTGAACAAGTTCAAGATAACTTACTCAGCGCAATTGAAAACATGAAAGCAGAATTAGCTACCGCCAAAAATGACCTAAGTTCACAGATCTCCTCTCTACGGAAAGACATTAGTGCTATTAGTTCCAAGTGTGAACACCTCGAACACTCTGTAACAGATATTCGTGGAGAAATAGATATCATCAAACAAAATCATGATATTGTGAACGACGACATTGATGCCCTCGCGGAGAAAGTCGATTCTGTGATCGAAAACATGTCCAACGTAGATACCGAACTAGACCGGCTGGAATCTTACAGCAGACGTGACAATATCATAATTCATGGTATACCCGAGGCTGACGGCGAGGAGAAGTCTATGACATGTAAGCAGACATCGTTATCCACTCTTAACGAGCATGCTACTTTCAAGACGTGGGGAACGTCTGACGTTATCCGCGCACATAGGCTTGGCGTTAGGCGGGTTAATGCTACCAGACCTCGACCAATGATTGTAAAGCTGCACATGTCTGACGATAAGGTGCGCTCCCTGAAAGCAAGACCGGCATTCAAGGCAGCGGGACTTGGTATCTCCAGTGACCTAACGTCACGTCAACGTCAGCAACTTCAGGCTTTGAAGGGGACAAACATGTTCGGCTATTTCAAGAATGGCCAGCTGGTGACAGTACCTCGCTCAGCCAGTGGAGCTACTGGATCCACCAACGTACGGGATACCAGAGTTCTCACCCAAACGAGGAAACGGCAAGCGAGGCCGAAATCAACCCTGCCGTAGGATTTGGGCCGAGGCCCGGATCGTATCTCACAGGGTACTGCTCACAATGACACCTGCATTACACCCACTGAACACAGCTTGTGCAACGAAACTCTCTCATTTCTGTGTTGGAATATAAACGGACTTCGTAATAAATCAGGAGATGATGACTTTATAGATTATATTAGAAAATTTAATATTATTTGCCTTCTCGAAACCTTTGTTGACTTTGATTACGACATGAATTGGTTGGTTGATTACCAAGTTTTTTCAAGTTCAGCTGTGAAACTGTCTGATTATGGCAGACTTTCGGGAGGTGTGTGCGTGTGTATACATCAGTCTATTAGCAAGTTTTGTAAGTTCATAACTACAGATATCGACAATTTGATATGTATACACATGTCAAAAGCGTTATTTGCTATTGATAAGCATGTTAATTTGATATGCACATATATACCACCTGAAGGCTCTCCTTATTACAACCATGTTGATACCAGTTGTAGTCTAGATAAACTTGAGGAATTTTTATTAGATATACAATCGGAACTTAGTGATTCACATACTGTTTTGTGTGGTGATCTAAATTCCCGAACTGGTAATGCAAATAACCCTTCAACACCCTCACGTGATGATATATTACATAGATACTTTCCATTTCATGAAGATGATGATGTTAGTGTTGAAAATCGGAAGTCTCACGATACATCTACAAACAAATTTGGCCAGAAAC